AGCAGGGAGGTCTGCAGACTGTGTTGGATTCTGGCCCTCCAGGACTGGAACTGGAGAACCCTGATCTAAATGTTTGCATTTGAGTAGGTGGGTTACGTTGAGGACAGGTGGTATGCTCCTTCCTGGAGCCCCGGAGGGTGTCGTCTTACTCCTCAGGGACCAAGTGCTCCTTCCAAGTAAGCTATAGCCTTGTCCTTTCCAGAACCTCCTCTGGCCATGCCATTTATTAGCCTCTCCCAGTGTTCCAGTGCCTCCAGTTACAGTAGATGTTTATGGGAGACGTTTTTAAACCGAAGGCATCGTCTGTGTTTTCAAAACTCATGCTCTAAGCTAATAAAATATGACTGACTGCATCAAACCTGTCAGCCAGCCAAGTATTTGAATTCTACTCTGGTCAACACATCGGAATGTGAAAGCAAATGTCCCAGGAAACAGTTATGGACAGAACGTTAATTCTCTTGATTTATTACGAGATTTTTGGAGCTTCAAGGTCAAGCTGTTCCTCTGTCACACATCGATAGACATGAGGCATGGAGAGAGAGAATACAACCATTGATTTTGAACCAATAGGCTGATTGTTTGAATTTTCATCCAAAGCCTTCTTCATTCCTAATTTGCTCTGGTTATTTAGAAAGAAGCATTAAGAAGTACAGCCGCTCAGCCATAATGTATGTAATAGATACTCGTTTGTTTAGCTGCTATTAAGTGGTGATTTACACCCTTTTTCTTGTCCAAGTTTGCATTTGATTCTACCATTGTCACTGCTATGCCAATTGTCTGTATTTTCATCAGCTAGGGATTAATTATACAACATTAAGGGTGTCTTTAGTTTGCCGAGTCCCTTCTAAATTATTGTTGGTTTGTTAAGCTTCTGTTTCAGTGCTTCCGTTATCCATCTTTCCTACGTGCCATTAATATATTTATTTAGATATTTATATAGTCCCATCTCTGTTGCCTTGATGGGTCGTTACTCCGCTGACATAGCACCAGCTCATTAAAAGTTTCTTCGTTGCCTCGTTAGTTAGTAAGTTTAATTCTCCTGCCCAGTGCCCACTAATGGGACCGGCACGTGCCGCTTGTTCCGTAGGAGAATCTGTGGCTTTTGAGTCAGTGTCATTGCGTTCGATCTGTCTGGGAATCACACAGGGTTGATTGACCTAAGAAAGCGTCCCAATAATGAAGCTGTGAATGCAGTGCAGCTAATTAAGGAGGAGCAGCTCTTTGTCCGGCTGAGAAGCACAGCCCTGGCTTTCACAAAATGTAAGAGAGAAGCTTCTGGTAGACTGGGATCATAAACGCCAGTCACGGGATAAATAATGCTAACAAAACTGCGTGGCACTGTTTCAGTATCGTCATGGTAACGAGACTATAGCTACATGCGGGTGTGTGGGTGTGTGTGTGTGTGTGTGTGTGTGTGAGAGAGAGAGAGAGAGCAGGGAGCTTGGAAGGATTGCACATCACTGTATTTCACCCTGAAAAATGTGTTGTGCCAGGACACAATGCAGCAACAAGCAGCACAAGAGTTACACAAAGGTGAGGGCTGGATGAAATACAGCAACTGAAGGCTGCAGTGTTTACCTCACACATTCCATCTTCTGTTCTCCTCGCTGGCTGCCTCGTCCAGGGCAGCCGACGCAGGCACTGTCAGAAAGATGTTGCAACATCAACAATGCAAATGAAACAGCATATTTTATATGAAACAATCCTGGCAGGTTACATTTAGCAAACTTGCTGTTAGAGCAATTTCATTATTGTAGGTAGCAAGTAATTATCTGGAGGTACAGCAAATGTTGTTTTTCCAAGTAAATAAAACCTTTGTTTTTGTTTTACAATTTTGTTACATTTATATTTAAGATTATTTTTTAAAGTTTGCTTTCTTGCTGATGTCATGAATGCTGCCAGAAACCCTCTGAATTATTCTAGTCCTGTGGTTGTCAGTCCTGTTCCTGCCCCCCTGCCTCCACATCAGAATGTTTTCATTCCAACCCTACCATAAGCAGGCTTATATGGTCCTTAACAGGCTAATAATGGATGTGGCAGGTTGAACGTAGTGTGAGTTGGAATGAGTACACTCTGGCAGTGGAGACACCAGGAACAGGATTGAGGACTATTGTTCTAGTGCAGTGTTCCTCAACCCAGTCCTAGAGGACCTCCAGACAGTCCACATTTTGTTCCCTCTCAGCTCCCAGCACGTTTGAACCAAACAATCAAGAATAAACCAAATAATCAAGAACATTTGGTACTTGGTACAGGCGTGTTGGGAAGCAAAAATATGGAATGTCTGGGTGTCCCCAAGGACTGGGTTGAGGAACCCTGTTCTAGTGAAACGTGCCTGATATTCCTGCAGCGTCTGCATAGATAATCCAGCAGTGATTACAGCCTCTTTTGCCACTGATGGACAGCATGTGGTTTTGTTTGTACAGGTTTGTTTAGATGTCATACTGACACAGAGCCTGAAAGTCTGGGGTGGCAAGGAGCCTGAAAATCTGCAGGAACCTGAACAGCCAAAACAGACCCACTTTATCCTTTAAATGTTTATCTGAAACTGCCTTTCCCGCTGACACTTGGTGTGTAAATAATGAGTGTGCTTGTGAATAGTATTAGATTTGATAATCTTGAGTAAAATGTACACTCATCTGGCAGAATTTCTAGGCACGGGTCAGTGCGCTGCTGTTTCTGGGCACCGTGAGCGTAACGCCTAAGCTCTATAGAGGTATAGTAGCAGGCCTGCAGCATCCCGCGCAGGCCTGCCTCTGTAAAATGCCTTTCGAAGCACTATGTTGAAAGTTACTGAAAGGAGTGAAGTGTCAGGTGTTTTCTCTGGATATATTGAGTGTCAACGAGTGCTTCAGATTTCATTACCGAGAGAGCAAATTTATCGGTGAGTTGTAAAACAACCGTTATTTGCGATGATTAAGTAATATGGTTTCCCTGCAGGAAGGCAATGTTTTCTTTAATTAAGAGATGACTCTGAAGTGATTGGTACTTATTGGCATCCAGTAGCTGTAAAATGACAAATGAAAAGAATTTCAGTTAGAAATTTGGGTTTTAATCAGGGCTGAATTATAGCGGTGTGTGGCTCAGCGGGCTAAACCTCTCTGGCCGATATCAGAAGGTGCTCGGTTCAAGCCCGGCCTCAGCAGAATAGCCTCACGGCTGTGGGCCCTTGAGCAAGGCCCTTAAAGCCAAGCTCCACAGGTCCCCATGCTGTGACCCTCAGGCATGCTCTCCTCTGACTGTTATGGAGAGCAGGAGGGTATAGGTTCTTTATCATTACTGAACCAAACTCGGCATGGCGTGGATACTCTCCCCCAGGCTGTCAGTCTGGATGGCAAATGTAACTGTAGTGAAAGCTACATTTATTGAGTTCAGAGTTTCATTGTTCAGGACTCAGAAGGGTTTGGCCAGATCAGGGTCATCACAATGAAGAATAGCTTTTTGGTATGAATGAGTATATATGCACTTTGCTGAATTATTAAATGGTAGCAAGTATCATGATGGGATCATGTTTATTCAGAGCAGAAAAGAACTGATGACATCAATGAATGCCTTCAAATCACCTGACAGCCCTGGTCATCTGACTGCACCCTGCTCCCCCCCATAGTATGTGATCAAAAACTAAAAAAAAAAATATATATTCTGATGCGTAATGCTGCTGATTTCAGGCCATACACAATAATCATCAAGTGTGGGCACATACTAACAGCCCGTATGTCTTAAACCGATTAACCCTGTGAAAACAAATGCTTGGAAGATATTAATCTGTTGGTTTTCTTGCATGCCGATGAAGATTAGCCTGGTAGCCTTTCAATCTGGCAGTCTATCGACATACAGAACAGTGTAACAATGAAAATGTATAATATATCATTGAAGGTCAGTCCTCTCTGTTTTTTGTCCATTGGAAACCAGCAGTGCTTGGATTAACTAATTGACTTGATAGGACGCTAACATTGACCTCCTGGCCCAGTGCTATCTGCACTCCTGTGACACACGATGAAGCCAAAGGCAGTAACTTCGATGCCCGTTGGCTGTGGATGGTAGAGCTCCAGAATGAGAATCACTTCTGCGCTTTTCACCGTGAACATTTTTGTTACCTTTCAAGGTCTGAAGCTGCCGGTGAAGCAGCTTATCACACGGATGAGCCGAGAGCTCTGATTTGTGAAGTGTGAGCCTGCCGCTCACCAGCCGCATTCCGCTCGCTCGCTTCACCGTGCCGCCGGAGTTCAGGTCCTCCCACGTCTGCTTTGTTTGTTTCTGTCGGGTGAAATAGGTATGCATTTCCCGCAAGTACTACTTTTCTTTCAACATGCAATCCGTATGTGACAAACGGATAAATGGAAAAACAAATAAAGCGCTCGCTTGATGTGAGGATACGTGTGTTTCTGAGATGTGCTCTACATAAAATAGACCTCTTTGATTCTCTTTGGGTTCATAACGAAGCGTGTAAATCTCAAATCTGTAAGCAGGAACCCCCTGTTATTCTTGTGCGATTTCTTACATCTACATGTTCGTTTCAAGGTTGTAATGAGCTGTAAGCTTTGGAATTTAAAAAATAAGATTGGAGGAAAATGGGGCTGACGTGAGAGGCTGCTTTTCGTGACTGTGACAGAGGTTGCAATTTTTATATTACAGGCAGAAGCAGCCAGGACTGTGTTCAGCTGCTTTGTGGCCTTTCTGCCCAATGTTGTCTCTGCGCCCAGTTCGCAGAGGATTCCGGAACCCGCTGGCAGATTCTCACAGCACCCCGCTCTCCCCGGCTGTGCTGTCCAGCCCGAACCATTTATTGCTGGGAAGTCTGAATGCACAAAGGACAGAACTCATTAGGGGACGCGGGGACTTACATAGTGTAATTACAGGCATGGTCATCACAATAATGCTCAGGCTGATCCAGATATTGTCGGGGCCGGGGGGGGGGAGCAGTTGCGTCCAGGGTGGGTTACAGTAAAAATCCACGCCAAGGAGTAGCACCTCCAAGCTTATCTTCTGAGGTCTCCCTGCAGGGCTCCAAGCGGATCCTGAGGTCGAACGAGTACATCCTCCCCCCCAGTGGCCTGATGGAGACGGACCTGGAGCTCACGTTCTCGTTGCAGGTAAACTGTGGCAAACTGTGGTTGTCTTCCTCTGCCTGCGAGGTGGATCTGGGCCTCGCTGTGCGCGGGAAGAGGCCTGATCAGCAGCTTCTAAACAACCGTCTGAATCAAAATTAAATTTTTAAAAAAATTACAAGGGAGCTGCCGTGAATACATAAGTTTGTAAGTATTGTGGGAAAAAGTGACTCAATCGCACTCTCCCTGATGTGTTTGTCCTTTCTGTTGATAGTATCCACATTTCCTCAAGAGGGATGCCAACAGGCTGCAGATAATGCTGCAGCGGAGGAAGCGCTATAAGAATCGCACCATCCTGGGCTACAAGACGCTGGCAGTGGGAGTTCTCAACATGGCTGAGGTCAGCTAGCACCATCGGGCGGAGATCTCTTGTCTAGTTTAGCGTTTCCTTCTGCTTAAAAGTCTCTGCTTACGCTTCCCCCGTCCCCATCAGACAGGCCTCCCTCACCAAGCGCCCGCGTTCTCCAATGAGCTGGCGCCGGGCTGCGTGAGGGCGCGGCTTTAGGCGGGCACCGGTGCCCGAGTGACTGCCCTCGCGGGGCACGAGGAAGAATACATTTTCATGATCACGTACGCCTTGTTTACAAACGAAAGGCGCACCCGGCTCTGCTGTCGTCCGAGAAGGGCGCTTGTGTACGCGAGATGAATCACGTTCACAGAACAAACACGGGGAAAGGGGAAAAAAAAATAGCTGAAATTGTGGACCATCTGGACGAGATTTCATAAGCGGCTCCGCGGTGAGTGTCCGCGCCCTGGCGTGCTGGATCCTGGAGCTGGCTTCTGACGCAGGTGGCTACTGGGAGCCCGGAATGGGCCGCGAGCTGTCGTGTCCCACAGTTTTTTGTGCCTGGGGGTGTCTGTTACAGACCCTGTTCTGTTCAGTCACGTTCCATTTTCTCTTAATGCCTGGTTCCTGTTGATTAAAATGCTCTTCTTTGGGAGGGGGAGGGGGTGGCACAATAACTGCGCTGATCGTTGCTTATTGGATCCCGTGAGATAATTATGCTGTCTGTCTGCTGTGGGGGTGAGCCGCGCTAATGCATTTTCTTCTCCATGTTTTCTAAAGTTCTTCGTAGAGGCGACCATTATGTTTTGAGGCAATTGAATAGTACCACCGTGCCCTCAGCTGGCCAGTCTTGTGGGGGAGGGGAGTCCAAGTGAATGGGGGGGGGGGACCATGGGGTTTCAGTCATTATTTTATTCTGAAGGGTACTAGTGTGGACTTCAGGCCATACATAGTAATCTACCAGTGTGGTTATATGTGTATGGCTAGTTTGATAGAATTCCATACTACTCAACATATCTGCCATCGGTTGGCGTTCTGCTATTTTGCGGTTGTATATGGTGTGGGAACTCTAGGGGGGCTTTAGCCTTTTCATAAATGTCTAGTGACATTTCTCCTGGTGCTTAGGGAAATAACGGGTTTGCGAAAGTGAACAAGCGCACGTCATCTGGGACGGAGGAGGACGTTTGCGGCCTGAGCGCTGGCAGGCGTATGTTGCGTGAAGCAGAGCCAAAGCTGGAGGATGTCGTGGGTTCCAGAGCACGCTCCGGATGTCGTGGGTTCCAGAGCACGCTCCGGATGTCGTGGGTTCCAGAGCACGCTCCGGATGTCGTGGGTTCCAGAGCACGCTCGGGTCTGAACGATGGCCGACGAAGGGGAGAAGGAGAGTGAGGAAGCTGTAGTGCAGGAATCTGCCTGTAGGAATGCAGATCATGGGAACAGCGCCGGGAATCACTCAAAGAAAAATCCAGCTAAGAAAATGGACAACATGTACACTGATCTAGATACAGGCGGCTGCACACTGTGACCCTGTATCAGATAAGTGGTGATGGATGGATGCATGGATGGATGGATGGATGCATGGATGCATGGATGGATGGATGCATTTTCTCAACTGGTCATTTTTACAGTCACTGTCTTTGCCTTGGATTTCATGCTATGGTATTAGAACATTTGAAATGAACATTTTCTGTCTCTGAATATATTTACAACAGGGTGAAACAATTTTTATGGTCTTTAAAACCCTCCTGCGTTTTGCATAAACATGATGGGTTTTTGAAGGAATCCCCAGTCCAGGAAGTGGACGGACTGTGTGACTCTCTTTAAGACACGGGAGGGTTGAAGTTAAGGCCCCACTTACGGACCTGCAGGTGATGCAGCATCCCACAGAGGGAGGCCAGATCCTGGGTCTCCATAGCAACGTGAAGGAGGCGCCGGTCCGTGCGGCCGAGATCAGCGTGCACTCGCTGTCCAGCCAGCCAATCGACCACGAGGACAGCAGCGTCCAGGCGGGTCCCAAGACCAAGGCCTCAGGTGGGAGCCTTGTCTCATGTATTTGATTCACTAATTCAGTTATGCTTTAACTTTATCTCTCCTCATTACCATGGATACATGACTGTGCTGATAATAAATCGCATAATGTCCATGCATAAAATGCACGATGTCAGAGCAGATACGCATAGCGTATCAGCGCATTAAAACTGCATCGCAGTTCCTCCATGGCATCATTCTTGCTTTGATGACTTCAGGCCTTTGGCATAGATATCTGTACGTCCCAGTTTATAGAATAATGCATTTGGAGTATTATACTGGTGAAGTGCGCACATCGCATGGTCCAGGGAGACCCCTCCAGAAGCAGACCCCAGGCTGCTGCTCCTCTTGGCAGTTCGCCTGCAGAACCCCTGGAATGCACACATGCACACGGACTCCCTCATTCTGCCCGCTAATACCTCGCGTTCTTAAGCCCCGCGGTGCCGAGGGCTGATGTGCCGAGCATGAACATCTGGAGGAGGTCGGGTGCCTGTGAAAATGAAATGCGCCCGCAGTCCATCTCCCCGCCCACATCTAAGGGTCTGATCCCTGGAGGGGGGTCACTCTGCAGTCTCCCCCCCACGCCCCATCCTCACTAGTATACGACGTTCGAGCAGATGTAAGCGGAGACCTCGGGCACTGAGCCACAGGCTAATTGTTAGCTGGGGAAAAGAATTTAACCTTCCTAAGATGGGAGGCACCCCCCCCCACGACCTAGAGGTTTAGAACAGGCCCCCAGTGGTACATTTTCTGCATGGATAATGAGAACAACGGGATGTCACCCTACAATCTGTGGTCACCCACAGATCAGTGGGAAGCATTGCTACTGCATATTAAATCTTCTTGGTCTTTTAAAAACTAAAATCGAACGCAAAATGAGTTGCAATTTAAAATCGTGATGAAATTACTGCTAGAAGGGGTTTGGGAGTCATTTGACTGGGGTGTTTTTGATTATTTCCACCTGTCCTTCAGAAAGGTTATACCCCATGTTGGGCCTGGTTTCAGCCTGTAACCCATATCATGTGGTATATAATGTAAGCACCCAGATCTCCTAGCTGAGTGATTGGGGTTTTATGCATTCTGTCATGGGTCTGTTCACCATTTCCACCAAAGAATTTTTCACAGTCCCACGACCCCCTGTGGGCTCATTGTATGATGATGGGCCTGCAGATGTGATGAATTCGGTTTTGAAGAAAATGTTGCCTTTAGTCTGAGCAAAAGCAGAATCATCTGTTTTATCATCCATTTTATTGTTCATTTTTGACATGGGACTGTAGTGACTGGTACAGCACATATCACTTATCGCATGCAAATAAGGCTGAAATCCCTAACCCAGAATAACATGGTCGTCATGGCTACAGAGTGTTTCTGTATCAAGGCTCTAAGGTCTTTTTGGCATTTCTGTGGAAATGTGGTTTACTGGTGATGTGATTGAGAGCTGCTGCCGGCCTGCGAGGCATCTGGAGCACAAACCCCAGGAGTGACCTTCAAGTGTGGGAACAGTGAGCTCACTCACAGGGTGTCGGCCCGTCTCCTGCAGATCGCTCTCCAGACATCGACAACTACTCGGAGGACGATGACGACAGCTACTCCTCCGAGCAAGAAGCCAGCGACGATGCCGTCCACGGCCAAGTAAGAGCCGCACCCAAGTCGACCATCTGAAATCCAGACATGCATGTGGGCAAACACACAGGCCTCAGCTTGTGCTGTCTTTCCTGTTCAAATCATGTTCGTCCATCATTTCAGTTGCAATATCGTTGCACATATATACAGACAATACTTACGGTTACGATGGTCCTTGTTACGATACTTCGACTTCACGATGGGTAATTTTTTTTCACGTTCAGTACATTATTCGATAAATTACATGACATACTCAGCATTTTATTCTAAAATAAGCTTTGCGTTAATGATTTTGTCCAACTGTAGGCTAATGTAAGTGTTCTAAGCATGTTTAAGGTAGGCTAGGCTAGACTATGATATTTGTTAGGTTAGGTATACTGAATTAAAATGCATTTTTGCCTTTATTGGAACGTAACCCCATCGTAACCTGGGGAGAGGCTTAATAAATACGATGCTGAAGCTCTATAAACTCTTAATACAGAGAATCCAAATTCTCCCAGTTTTCCATTTTTATACGTGCATAGCGTGTGCCAATTATCATTATTGAATGTGAGTCTTTGTGATTTCATAGGCTGCTGTTTTTTTCTGCTCTGTCTTGCACTTTCACCACAAAAAGGGGGTTTAAAAGAGCCAGTCTAATTAGTCCGGTGTATTACGGAGACGCTTCCTGCCATTCTGTACCCTGGTGGGCTTTGAGTACAAAGGCCATACGGCAGGTGATGACATCATGCTGTGGGGAGCCACAGGTGTCAATGTCTCATTACTGTGTCCTCGTTTCATAAGTAATCAAGCCTCACCATTTTACAGTTAATTTTTCGTTGTTTCTGTTAATGGCATTCCCAAACGCCACACTATCTCTGTTTACTTGTTAATTTAAAACGGCCCAGATAGCAAAACAGGAAGTGTACTCGCAGGTAACACACATGACCAGCCATTATGTTAATTCGCCAGTTGCCGTAACATACATTAGACTCAGCTCCAGGGATGCAAGAGATGTCTGGGAGGAAGGCGGCTTGTAGAACCTGACGCGTGATTCACGGGTTTGGACGTGTCGTCTCCCTGGTTACTTAAGAGGGACCACGTCCCGCTCCTCATTGGCTGCCCAGTAATGAAGTGAAAATGCAGCGATGTGCGAGGATGGTGTGATGGCGAGAGACATGGCTAACTCTTCGGACAAACCCCGCAGGACCTGTACGATGAAGACGATGAGGTCAGAAAGCCAAAGAAGTCCCGCAGGAAAATGATCAGGACCACCTCCATGACCCGGGTACGAGGACCCTGCCGCTGAACAACTTCTGTCTGTTTTTTCTTCTGCAGTTGGCAAGGGAAATGAAAATTAATGCTAAGATAGGTGTGGGGAATTATCCATAAAACCATGCAAACCATTGGCTCCGGTTCGCGTAATTGGTCGTTATGGGGGAAGACTGTGTATTTATAGAGGCTCGTCTTGTAAGGGACACAGCAGCGGGGTCAGTGAGGGGACCAGCCTGTGTACCATTTGACCTGACGTCTAATGAAGTCTCACTGCTTTGTGGAAGCCGGCAGAATGTCTCCCCTTAATCCTCTCAGCGTAAAATGAGAAACGGCCGCGCGCAGGAAGTAGTTCATAACCTGCCGTCATTTCTATTTAAATATCACCCCTTCCCCTTCATGCACCCTTCATTTTGCTGGTTCCAGGTTGAAAATATCAGTCATTCCTGTAGTTCTGTGTTCTCTGCCATTTCTGGGTGACCTGGTTAGTCACTTGTGAAACTAGCCCCAGTCTCTTAAGGTGACCTGGGTTTGTGCTGTTAATCCGTGCATGTGAGGGGGGGCGGGGGCATTAACTATCACTGGCAGGAAATGGAGAAAAAGATCCGTCCTCTGCACCACGGCCTCCAGTCCATGTGTGAAACTCTGCCATATAAATGTGCTTTGATGTTTGCCTGAGAGATTAGAGTGTTAGAGTGTTCTTTATAAAGTCTGCCAGCATGTTATTATTCCTGTCCACAATTACCATGACGACAGGGCCGTGACAGGATACACGAGGATACGCCGCATTCCAAACGCCGCATTCGACCCGAGGCTCAGAAATGATCTCGACCGCAGGAGCTCTAATACCTCTCCCCCTTTGGTTTTGGCAGCAACCCAACTTCAAGCAGAAGTTCGTGGCATTGCTGAAGAGGTTTAAAGTGACAGACGAGGTGAGTGTAAAGTCTGACACCGCGGTGACATTTAGGGAGGTCTAACAAATTTGCTTACGGTCATGCGGCCTTCCGGCACATTCTGGTTTTATCGTGTCGGGGAGGATCATCACGCCTCAGGTTGATGAATTTTGATCAGCAGAGATTTAGAATTGGATGTCAAACGTGGCATGCCCTATAATCACGTCTGTCAGCCAGTCAAAGCAGGCCAGGCAGAAAATCATCCCCATCGATTCATTCTGTTGTCCTATAATTTATATTCTATACCCATAATCTGCATGGTAATCGATCGTATTATTGTTTTAATTCGTTTATTATTATATGCCTTCTTAAGATTAGCTGATATTCTTATCCAGAGCAAATTACACATCTTCTGCATGTTTCACAACTTACACAGCACACATTTTATCCATCTGTACTCCTGTGTGAAACATAAAACCACGACGATGTCATTCACCTCGCGGGTGTTTGTGTTATTACAATACTTATTCACTTGCATCATAATATCAAATCTCACATAATATCACAAATGCATTAAGCTTTTTTATTTGGGTTAGTGTACTCGTTTGAACATTCTCTCTCTGGTGGGTTAGGCTTAGCCTGAGTAAATCTGATTGGACAATAATGTGGATGGAGTGAAAATAGGTTATTTGTGATCAAATTCAGGTCCAGGAGAAAGCTGTCATTTGGTACCTCAGCCGGTGTCTCCTGAACCTGCTTTGGCCAGTACAGTCAGCCCAGGGGGTGGGGTAGTTGGGATTGGGATGGGGGGTGGGGGGGTGGTTGGGATTGGGGGGGTGGGCTGCTTGGGAAACATTAACCTCCTCAGCTGTGCGTTTATGGTTTTCGCATCCGTGGCTCACGGTCAGCCAACTGTGAAATATGGCCTTTATTAAATTGCCGCAGGCTCTTTGACATTAAGTCCCCGGTGAGCGATTCTCCAAGCGACTTTCTGGGGCATCATCTAATATATGTGGGGCTATAAAAAATATATATCATCGCAGCAGTAAATGTTCTAACAGCGACGTTCTGTCAGGCTCGTGCCGCAGGCTGGCCAGGACATCTGACCACCGGTTCTCTCGATTGCGTTTGAAGATGAATATGAAGTTAGCGCGTCTGGAATGACCCGAGTCGCATGTGCCCGGTAATCTAATAAGGTGTAAGTTAGTTAAGTGGCCGCGGTTGCACCAGCCACCTGCGGTCATTGCAGTTCTTGTCCTGGGCTGTAGTTGCATTAGGGCTTGGCAACGCTGCGGGGGATGGGCAGGATATCTCTGGTTGTGTGTCACGGCTCGCGGGTCACGCTGCGCGGCTTTTGTAACGGATCCTTGCTTAGCTCATGTCCGCCCCACCCCAACGCCTCTCCTGTAATGATATATAGGTCAGGAGATAGACCTATATATAGCCAGACATGGACTAGTACTAAACCAGCGCTTGTTATGCCCTTGAGCATGTAGATCTGAGCTTCCTCATTCAGCTGTAGGAAGTGTGCACTGGTAACCACTGTAAAACTGCACTGGATGAATGACCCTCTAAGCAAACTGCAGCAGATAAATTAGTGTTGATTTAATTTCGGGCAGCTCAGGTGTTTGTGTTGTCCGGGCTGCGATTCTAGTTGGAGCAGATCTAACCATTCATTCTACCCCTGGTCAGGGGCGGATTAATATCTCTGAGGTCCCCAGGCTGACATGGCAGCCCCCCCCCAGGTGGGCCCGTTGAGCTATTTTTATGAGCGAAAGGAGAGAGAATTTAAAATGTCAATCATTCACTTTGATAAAATTTGTTGATCAGGGTGGAGTGGGGCTGGAGGGCTGAGGGTGAAATTTGCTGATCGATTGGCCAGATTTAACCCTTCGTATGCTGCATAAATATACACATCTGCACCTCCTTCTGTAGGCTGCTGGCTATGCCTGGATTCGCCTCTGCCTCCGGCCATCGCTGGTCTGCAGCCACTGGTCCTCCATCTCCCACCCTGCTTAGCTGCCACCCAAGTCTGGTGCCCCAAGCTGCACTCTAAACACACCCAGCGGGGAGCCAGTTTAGGCAGGACGTACAGCGGGGTGGTTTCCAGGAAGCCTCTCGCTCTCCCTCCCCCAGAGAGGCCAGGCGTGCTGCCCAAGGACTAAGGCATCAGAGCTCCTCCTCCATTGATTTAATCAGGAGCAGTTTATTTTAAATGATTTAAATCGATTGTAGGAATTAAAGCACATCCTGGTCAACAGGGGAATGTTTTTTTTGGGTGCCGGTTAGCTAAGGGTAGTGCCTGTGCGATTGCTGGGGTTTTCCTTTATTTTTTCCGCTCCCTGAAAACCTTGAATGACTGCGATGATCTGCCTTGTGGCTTGACATAAAGAAAGTGGAATTAAACCTGGTTATACTTTAAACACAACATTTGCCCGTATGTCAGACCTGAGTAGGGGAACTGTGGTTTTTTCCTCCATATGTAATCAGCGAACTGACAACTGCTACAGTTTTTTTTGGCAGTGAAATTCCCTTAAGGTTTCCCATCCAGTGATGCATGATGATTTATCGGTAGTATTGTTAAAACACGCTTGAGGAAGTTTCAAGCGTCATTAGAAATACCTAGATTGTGGTGGACAGCTGGGCTCACCGTCCTGTGTGTTTTTCCCTTTAGAGGAAGTCTGAGCTGTTATGTCATGTTTTGAAATGCCTCCATTGATCTCAAACCTCAGGATGTTACACATCGAGACAAGAAATCGACAGGCCGGAACGATATTTTATTATCTGTCTGTCAACCGTAGGTCACGTTGGATGAGTCAATTAATCGGTTAGGCTATTAAACATGCAAAGAACTCAGATAAAGTGTTAAAGCTGATTCTTAATAGGCTGCTTAACTTAATTATGTTTAAGCATTATGAATGTGTTCAAGTGTAACATAGGGCTGCAGGATATTATAACAAGCTGGGAATTTCACCCCGAGACGGATGTCATACCAAAACTCACATTTCAATCAAAATCGACTGACATAAGGTAAATCAAGGCAGAAAGGCCCCAGCACAGTGACATGTAAAAATAAATAGTTCTGCTCGCAATCTAAATGGTCCATTACTGTAAACATGATTGAAGGCAGTTACTTGCTGTCAAGTGTCACACCCCTCAATACGGAAATCGCACCGCTCCATTTCGGCCTGCTCGTACTCGCAGGGTCTAGATGGGTGATTCACAGAGGAGCACATGTCCTCTACGCCCCCAGTTCCTGCGTGATTGGGTTTCATTTCATTATCATTTTCAGCTGAATCCTCCTGGATTCCTGCTCCTGGGTATTCAGACCCATGGTGGAGTTCTGCGATTTCACATACATTGGCAGGTGAAAAAGGACCGTTCAGGCCGTAATCAGGAGGGCTGTGACCTGTGCTGTCTCCTGCCAAGAGGTGGCATTTGTCCAAGTCACTTTTTCCATTTTTGAGCTGTCGAAAGTGCAGCTTTCCTGTCCTGCAGATTGGGGGGGGGGGGGGGCGACAGCATCACCTCTCAGATGCACCACACGTCATACGCACAGCAGCACAGGCAGTAGCCTCACGGCCGCCAGCAAACTCACAGCCGCCAGCAAACTCACAGCCGCCAGCAAACTCACAGCCGCCAGCAAACCCACAGCCACACGCTAACATGTCGTCAGCAAGGAAGTTCTTTACTGTGAGTGAAGACGACACAAAGCTTGCAATTTTTAATACATGAAAAGCCGAAGTACCTGTAAACCGTGGGGGAACCACCAAGAAAATGCAGTGAAAATTCTCAGTTAAATGTTGGACTGATTATTAAACATACGTATACTAGGTAATCTTAAAAAGGAATAATCATTAACATTGCAAAGCTAAAGGTTTTTTCCTATGACAGAGTAAAAATGTTTTAGTTGAACTTTAGCCCCCTGCGCTATAATGTCTGTAAAGTATGAAGGCATGAAAAAGCCTGATCTTAATCTAGCTTAGTAGACATGTAAGAATTGTATGTGCACAACACACAGTGTTGGTATTAATAATATTATTCTGCACCTATTATTATTTGGAATAGTATAGTACACTTCGGTTTGTAACCTATGGACTTTTTTATTTTAAGACGAGAAAAAAAAAGAGAGAAAAAGGTTGTGGTATCTGGTGAATTTATACATGCTGGAAAATGATACAAGTAACTGACATTTGTTATTTAAATCTGTTGCACCTGCTCTTGTTTGGTAAAGTAAAATCTTGTCAGATAAAATTGGTTGTACAGCAATTCATTTTCAATTTGTACCTCTTTCCAATCACTTCATTTTGAGACTTGATTAAGCAAGAGAAGATCCTGTAACTTAGTGCAGTTTTGTTGAAATTGTAAAGTGTATCAATTTCTTTTATTATTATGAAGCTAAAATTTTGCATTGAAGAAAAGTTCATTTTTGTTTGTATATGCTGTCGATTATAGTTCTTGGAAAGAAAATTGCAATCGGCAAAAATCGGTATCGGCAGGTCACGCTTGCAAAAAAAAATCAGAATCAGTAAAGAAAATTGCAATCGGTGCATCTCTACATATTAGGGGGCCTTTATTGCACAAGGCCTGAGGCCCCTGATTGGGTGAAAGTTGCCAGATTGCAACATAACATTGCAGCTGGAGTGGGATGTAAACACCCATCCGATTTACATCCAAAATGAATCCGTTTGACATAGACAGGATTGTACATTTTAGCCATCTGTGCTATAAAGCAATAAAGCCCTTCATTTCTTGCTTTCTCCTCATGTCGTCACATTACCATCATCATTCAGAGATCTTATTTGTAACCGTGAATGTCGTTTCGCCTTTTTAACTCTTTAACCTTGCAATTAAGAAGTTAAAATAATCCTCCTTGAGGCCAGACACTTTGCTGGTTATAAACCTGCTTCCCAGCCGGCGATCTGGGTTTCTATGCCTTATATATGCTAAGTTTAAGCCTTACGTGTTAATCTCTTAATTAGATACATTGTAAAAGCAAGCTGTTCTGCCTTCGTGTTTCAAATCTTTTCGGTTGTCTTCTTTCTTGGGTGTTTAGGAATTAAGGTGTGCATGTATTTGAAAATGATATTTGCCTTATTTTTCTGAAGACAGGATGTCATCTAATGACATCACACTCACTGTATGGCTCATATTGTTTTATCTGAATATTTGCCTAATTTAATTTAGTTTGAATCATTGCTGGAAGTGGAAAGTCTTGGGTTTTATTTACCAAATTAGATTTCGGTATGTGTTTTTTAATGTATTATTGATATGCTAATTTAGGTTCTGGACTCAGACCCAGTGGACCAGACACAAGAGGTTGAGGAGGATCTGGACCTTCTCTATGACAGCCTGGAGGTGTACAACCAGAGTGACAGTGGGCCTGAGATGGAGGACAATGAAAGTGTCCTCAGCACACCCAAACCCAAACTCAGGTATGGTTCAGACTCTGTGGAGAATCTCTGTTTCCTGATTCCTCTATCTTCTGCAGATATTTGTCTGCCTGTCATTTTGCACTTTGTCTAAATTAATGTGCATAAATTGTGAAATTTTCCATAAACATGCTTTAATCTCTCTCAAACGCTGAAATGCTAATAAAAAAAGTAATTTAGAAATTATGGAAATAACACAAAAAATAGTGAAAATAAGAATTTATGTAGTGAGTAATCTGTAGACTCTTTGGAAGCAGTGACATTTTATCAAAAAACAAGGTGCTCTTCCAGTTCTTATGTAAGAATCTTTCGTCAAATTCTCTTTCATTATTCATTTCTGTGTATCACTTTATGTTGAGTATGAAATATGTTCAAGGTCGCAGATTAGGAGTCGTTGATAGGAGTTTTAGCGTTGTGGCGATCACACTAGCCAGTGAGATGCTGTGCGTTGGCTGCCTGAATGTGAATGGACTTTTACAGCTGGCCGCCTCTGGCATGATTTGCCGGTTGCCTGGCATTTTGACATCTTCTGGACTTTGTGTTTTCCTGCGGCCCCCTTGTGGACGCGCAGTACCTGCTGCGGAGCAAAGCTCCTGCTTGCCCGGCTGCCCGCACACTCAGCAGACCCCGTCTGTTCTTTCCAGGCCCTTTTTCGAAGGAATGTCCCACTCGAGCTCGCAGACGGAGATCGGCAGCCTGCACAGCCAGAAGAGCCAGCACAGGGACACCAGCTGTGCCGTGAGTTGACCTCCCTGCCCCACACGTTAAGACAAGCCATTAGCCATTGGCTGAGTAGCGATCAGCTAGTTCCTAGGGCATCAGTGCATTGACACCCTGTTTTCCTGATTACTGTTGGACCTACAGATACTGATGGGGGTCCATGTTTGGCTCTTTAGCCATAATTGACAATTAAGGGGTCAGTGTTGGGTCAGTACCTGGTTAGCGTGTGGTGTTCCGGCCTTGCTGCCATACTGTCTACCCCAGTATGCACAGGTGCGCAGCCAGCAGATCCTCATCCATATGTTATATCAGTTATATAGCCAAGCATCAGCTATGCTGGCAGCAATCCCAGAATGCAATAGGACATAACAAACTGGATGGGATACCAGTCAGTTCTCACAGGCACATGTAAACACATCTTAGTCACATCCATCCATCCATCTGCCTTCACCGCATCTCCAGTACATGATCACAGTACAATTTAGTCATATAAGAAGGGCAGTTAAATTTTACCTTAATAGTTTGCAGATTGTTTTAAAAAACACAAACGATGTTTTTATGAACTCATGGAGAACTTTCCAGTGTTTTTACTTGAACCCATGCCCCTGGACCTCAGAGTCTACACCGACCCCAACACCTCTCCCCCACCATTAATTTCAATTAAAAAAAATTCCTTATGACCTAAACAATACAATAGAAAATGTATGTAACTGAGCATGCTATAGGAATGCCAAACAAGTCTCAGCAGTGCCCCCTTTAGGATGGAGCAGTAATTGTTAAATATATGCTCTTCTACAGGGCCGAGACTTCATGTCTGCAGAGCTGAGCAAGGTGCCTGGGTCCAGGTATCAGGACGATGCTGCTATTGAAGCTGGGCCTGGAGTAAGTGTTCTGGCTGATGCTAATGGCCCAGTTCCTCTGTCCTCATACCCCTCCCACACAGTGCCCTGCTGCCACACCGGCCTGTCGCATCATGATCTCCCCTTATCTACCTTCACTCCCGCATTTGTCAGGCCTTGCTTCTTGAAACTCCACCAGGTCTGAAATGTAGATCCTCCTCTTTTGCCAAAGGGAACACAGTTTCACAGTGCTTCTCCGGTATTGATCAAATGCTCGGTCACGTGATCTGGCTCTTAAAGGAGCCCCACGCCTGAGTTCCTCGCATCGTCATGGCCACTGTTATTACGAACCTCTCTTTCCAGCACCTACTTATTGTGACAGCGTAGATGTTACCTGTCAATTGGCTTTCAATCTGAGTCTTATTGGCCATTTAAGGGAGCGTAGTATCTATCTGTCTGCCTGTCTGTCGACCAGTCTGTCTGTCTGTCAGTTTATCTGTCTGTCTTTATCTATCTATCTATCTATCTATCTATCTATCTATCTATCTGCAGAGGATATGTAGTTTGCATTGGTGTCTGGTAAATATTACTGAATAATGTTGTTTTTATTTTTGCTTGTAGGAGGTGGAAATCGAGGAGGTGGGGTCAGGGACAGGGACAGGGGACACAGGTGGCAGCCGGGATGTTTCTGATAAGCCACCCCTTTCTGGAGGGGGGAAGCTCTGCAAGACCGAGTCCCAGACACACATGTCACCCAGGTATCATTCACATGGGAGAATACCACTAATGAAAGCTAATTAAACGCCTCTTTTATTCCTCATTTTCTGCCTGAAGTCTTCAGATTTTGCTACTACTGACATGGATCTAATAAAATCCATAAAAAAATATATAAATACAGTAAATGGGTGAAAAACTTGCTTACAACCAGCTGAACGTCCAGCTTAAATATTTTTGGCAGTGGCATGCTTTGTTTGGAACGTTTTTTGGCCCAGTTTTTATTTCTATTACTTTTAATTTAATCTGCCGTGTTTTACTTTGCAAAAAAAAACAGCAGTTATTGCGTTTATTTCTGATAGCTGCTGTTAACAACGATTGTTTTCCTTTCGAGTGAAATCCAAATTATGTCCTTTAGACGTATCATTTTCATGTAACAGGTGGGAACGATTTAGACAAGCAATTTAAATTTAATGCCGCTGTTTGCTGGATTTCGTTTTTTTTTTTTTCCTTCTTTTTTTTTTTCTTCTTTCCGCCCTGAGCTGCGCTCAGCCCATTCCAGGTCCTCTGCTTTCCTTCTGCACTCGCGAACGAAAAGCCCAACTGACTCAGCAGATGTTGTGGGCTTCCTCTCAGCCCGGAGGGATTTCTGAGCTCTGTGAAAGTCCACCTTCGGGCTGTGCGGCATTAATTGCCTCAATGTCCGTGGCTTCGATTCGCCCTTTTGACAACACCTTCAGTGGGGTTGTGCGTATTACGACGGATCGCGTTGGACTTCTGTCGCGCGCTGAGGTTCTCTGCCCCTCAAACGGCAAACCCCGCAGAGGCCTGCGACAAAGTCCCGAACGCAGCTGTGTTCGTAGCTCGGTCACAGATCCCGCTCGTCTTCATTACTGCGATCCCTGAAAGCGGTTCACCGCGAAGCTGATGATGCGGCTCCTCCTGGCATCGCCGGCCTCGCCGCTGCTCCATCCACACTGGCTCTGCTGCCTGGTTTCTGGAGCTCGCCAAATGAAAAGCACGGCGTGATACCGTCTGGGCCTGGGAGGGTCCCTGCCGCCGCTGGGAGCCCGTGGGGAAATCACGCCCGTCTCTCTCTCCCCAGCAAAGCGGAAAACAAGCTTCAGAGACGCCCCCGTAGTACCTCTATGAAGGACCGGCAGAACTCCAAGGCCCAGAGCGACCGCACGAGCAGCATCGACAGCGAGACGTCTCCCGACTCGCGGCTCACCGCCCAGGTCTTCTCACACGTGCCGTTTACCGTTCTGCCAGTGCCTCTTGCACTAGGATGCCCCCTGCCCGCTTAACCAGGCTCTCAGAACCATGTGTGATTGTCCAGTGTCCTGCAGATGGTTCTGGAAACAGATAGAAAGGTTTTGATCTTAGCTCTGCTCACATATCCTAACCTCATATAATGGACCTTAGATATTTGTATTTTATTTAGATTAAAGCCACTTTTCATTGATGAGGTTCATCACTCTATTGCAGCCCGAAGACTGCATTTGCTTAGTGTTAACAAATACATTATTTTTGAGACATTTTTCTAATAAAAAACTAAAACAAGTTAAAACAGAGATCCGATTCGAATTAGGATCAGTTCATTATTAAGTGGGTAGCTGTAATGTGAATCAGTCAGCGTGTGACTAAACCCCCCCCCCCTCATCCTCTCGCTTACTCAACCTCCTGGTCCTGCTCCCAGATCCCCAGGAAGTCTGTGTACGACCAGCTGAACCAGATCCTGATTTCGGACGAGCAGCTGCCTGAGAGCATCATCCTGATCAACACCACGGATTGGCAGGGCCAGGTGAGCCCAAGCTTAAGGAGCGGCCTGCAGGACAGGGGGCCGGCAGTAGGTGGCGCTAAGTCCGGCACCTGCTCAGGGGGGCCAGAGCGGAGCCCCGGACTGAGGAGCTACAGGGGCGCCTTGAGTGACAGGGCCAGGTGGAGAGCCGCCCCAGGCAGAATGCATACGTTACTGAAGGGGGCTGTGGTTTCCTCCTTAAGTCTGCGGGCGCAGCGTAAATCTGATCTCCTGTCAGCTTCATCAGTGTCCTTTTAATCCCTGCTCTCAGAGTCTGACATATACAAAAAGTACATGAGTAGAATATGAACAGGCAGCAATTCAGTCACATTTTGGACTGGTTACATATAAAGGCAGTTCTCCACATAGTAATCCTTTCTATGCAAGTCAGATTTTACATATGTCACATTTACCTTCCCATACCATTCAACACAATTTATAGTAAAAATAAGCCAAAATATTTTAGTAATTCCTACTAAAGAAGTGTTTCTGTAATCTCTGTGTGTTACAGATATTTTTTGCGTAACTCCACATTTACTTGAGTCAGTTATACGTTGGTGGAGAGCTCCCCACCATGAGGCGGATTGAGTAACTGTGAGGTAGATAATCACCTTATGTCATGTTCTTGTTTTGCCTGCTTGCCTGGGAAGAGCCATGCTACTCTATGCAGCTAATCGGTAAACATTGTGTGTGGGTTACAAACCCATATCCGGAATGTCACTGGTTCAAATCCCACGGCCGGCAGAGTATTCATATCATAGTTGGGTTATTGAACAAGGCAATTAACGCTAATAAAATACCTGCTTTAGGGGGATACATGGCTGACCGTGTCGAATGCAGATTTTACCATCATTACTGTGTGTCTCAGAGGAGTCCAAGATGGGATATACTACAAGCAGAGAATTCCGATGTACTTATGCTTGTATAAATGACAAATAGAGTACCATTATCATTAGAGTATGCTTCTCTCCATCTACACAAAGGCGATCATAACGAACAGCTCATTGCGTCTGGAGTGGCTCTCCCCTGCCCAGCTTAGTCACACACTGACTCTCTGCCATGTCTGTCTCTCTCGCTGCCGTCGCTCCAGTACCTGGCAGAGATCCTCCACGAGCAGAACCAGCCCATCGTCTCCACCTGCTCGGCAGCCGATGTGCAGGCCGCCTTCAACACCATCGTCACGCGCATTCAGAGATTGTGAGTCCAACTCGCCGCCGTACTGAGATCACAGCCAGGTTCTGCCTTTGGGTCCTAAGATCCCATCTGCCAGCAGGATTGTAGAATTGGGTGCAGTGTGCCACAGTGACATGTGGCCTGGATTACCTATAGCACGGGCCAGGCCTGCTAGGAAGCAGGGTCCTGCTTTTATGGGCTCTGATCCGCTTTTGGAGTAGAGTGGTGTTCTGTCATAGTCTTGGCCTAGTTCAATTTTGCTGTTTTTTCCAACAGGATCTTAATGTGCAGGATGTTTCAGCTGGCAATTGAATTTTGGATGTGATTTAACCTTAGCCAATGATACTTGTTTTTTTTGTGGGTGGCACCTCTGTGGTTGGGGGTTTGCATGGTCTCCCTGTATTGTGTGATTTTATTCTACATTCTCTGAATTCCTGCCACAGTCCAAAGACACACCATTAAGCTAATTAGCATTTCTCAGTTGCTCAAAGTGTGTGTGTGTCTGTCTGTATGTGTGTCTGTATGTGTGTGTGTCTGTCAGGGTTGGGGCCATTCCGGAATGCATTCGTCAGTTCCAATTCAAATCAGGAAATGGAAATGGAGTTGGAATTTAAATCTCCCTGAAATTCGAATTCAGTTCCAATTCTGTTTCCCATAGTTTTTTTCCAATCCTAACTCCAGTTCCATTTCCTGATTTGGTCTGGAATTGATGAATGCATTCCGAAATGGTGCCAACCCTGGTGTGTCTGTATGCGTGTGTGTGTGTGTGTGTGTGTGTGTGTTTGCGCGACGGACTGGCGTCCTGTGTCTGATGTACCCTTGTTTCCTTAGACAGGCTCCAATGCTTCCCCATGAATCTTTACTGGTCGCACAGCTATAAGGTGAATTAATGGAATTTTTTTTTGTTTTTGGATAGGAAAAACTGCCTTAATAGCCTGAAGCAGTTAACAGAACAATTGGTTTCTTCTAGTAAATAATTACTTTGTTCTCTTTCGTCCACACTATGGTACAAGTGTATTGGCTCTGTAGTTTATAACTGTTGATTTTAGTGACACATAACGTCACTAACGCTATTAAATGAAAGCAAAACATATAATATCCAGCACTGCCACAAGTTCAGAATCTTTGCCACTGGTGCGTGTATTTCAAATAAAATTTTAGGATTAACAACATTTTTAAGCGCTCTACAGAAGTGTAGCTTGCAGATGTTGGTTCTTGCTGGAGCTGTTGTTTTCGTAATGAGTCACT